AATGAACGAGGGACCCCCCCCCCCCCCCCCCCCCCAATAGTCATATTCAGACCCCCAAAAATATAAATGGTTTTCTGCCTCTTCCAGATCTACTTCTGGGAAGCTACGCGGAAGAATGAGACTGAGAAGGTGAGGACGCTGTTTCTGCCGGAGAGCGGGGTGAAGCTGAAAAATCTGACGGGGTACACCACCTATCTGATCAGCGTGGCGGCATTCAACACGGCCGGAGATGGTCCCCGCAGCCAACCCATCCGATGCCAGACTCAGCAAGCAGGTAGGCAGCTGCCGTGGTAGAAGCAAGCAAACGATCCATCACCGATCATTATTGCATGATATACATTGTATAATATATACCTAAAGATTCCTTATCTAGTGCAGTGGTTCTCAACCTGTGTAACCTCAGGACCCACATTTGTCCTTGGTAATTAAGTCGCAACCCAAGTCGCACTACACTGGAATGCACTGCATTGCGGTACCGTGCGTTCCGGTGCGGGCGATCGAACTGTGGGTGAGAGGTACGTTTGGGGTGCCATTCAAATGAATAGAAATGCAACACACCTCACTCGTCAGAATGCGCGGTAGGTGCGATTGCATGGTAGAGGTGCCGGGAGCCAGAATGTGACGTCACTCTGGTACAGGCACCTCCAACAGGGCACGTGAGGGAGCTGTAAGCAATGCACATATGGATGGAGCTCCCTCGTGGCCATAGGTCCAGACCACCCCACCTGAAGCTGACACTCTGCACCGGGCAGCGCATTTTGAATAGCTGCTTGGTGTGAGAACTGACAGTGCTCCGCTAGGGGGAGGCTGAGGAGCCTCTCACCTGGAAAAGTTGAAGGCACGCAGCGACCCACTTCTAGGTCACGACCCACCGGTTGAGAACCACGGATCTAGTGGCTATCTGTATATCAAGCAGCGCAGTCAACATGCATGCTAAATGTCTTCTGAGATGACACAAAAGAGCCTTGCTATTTTCAGTCAATCTGGGTGGACTGCTGGTACTAAGAGGAGCTAGATAAATACATTGTGTGTGCTACATTTATAAGGATATTCAAAATATTCATATACAGCGAGTGGTCGGATTATTATATACAGCGAGTGGTTCAGATTCCTCGCATCACCTTTCACCATCTCGTGGAGTCACCAGGCGGCCCAACGAAGTACTGATGGGGGGGGGTCATAATAATCTGGCCACTCAGTGTGTATATAATAGAAAAAAATGGAAAAGCTAATAATTGTACGAACGATAACTATTAGCAGACCTCTATGAGGTAGTCTGTAACTTGAAGGCAAATGGGTTTTCTAGACACCTGCTTTGATTGCATTAGCTTTATCTATGTCAATAGAGTGTGTGTGTGTGTGTGTGTGTGTATATGTATATATAATGTTGCACAGATACCAAGTACAGTACTCAGTACAAGTACGAGTACATGTACCGATACTTTTGAGCTCCAAGACTACACTAGAGAAAAATGCAAAAATTAGGAGGCCGCTGTAATTTGTAAGGAGCACACGGAGCTCCCGGGATTTGTACATCTCTGTTTTAATGTACGATTTTATTTTTATAAATAAAGGGATGCACAGATTACCAGTTTTACGAGTACTGATACTTGCCGAGTACTTACGAGTACTGATAAATTTTTGTTTATTGTCATGTGACAGTTTTTCTAAAACAATACAGACTAATGATTTCAGGACAGTGGTGGAGTGCCAGAGCCAGGTCCCAGCTGCAACCGCTGCAACCCTGGGAATTCTCATGAAAATGCCAAGTGTCTGCACTGGTACTCGAAAAGTATCTGTGCATCCCATACACACGCACACACACACGCACGCACTGCCGTGCCTCTATACGGCTGTGTGCATTTTTTTTTTAAAACCTTGAGATAAAATTGACTCCAAACCATTCTAGTCTCCCCTTTAATGATACTTCCAGCTTCAGCACGCAGTCCTCGGCTGCCTGCAAAGGGTTGAATTCCTGCGAGTGTTGCGTAATCCCAGCCATATCTCTGGGCTCCCTCAGAGCAGCGTGTCTTCCCCTAAGCAAAATGTTGCAGTCATCACCCTGCACAGAGATTGCCATGTCACATTAGTCGCATTTCGGCACACCGCTCGCCGCTAATGCACTCCAAGAGGAGAAGTCTCGAGCCTCATCCGCTCTGACACCCGCTCGTTTATCCCATTTAGAGCTGTTTATCTTGATGGCTGCACAACGACAAGACTTCGCATTCGGTGCATGACTTGTCAAAGCATCAACTGGTCCAGGGCTCCTATTGCCATGGCAGCAGCCGCGGCATAGATGTTGCTCGGACAAAATGGCGGACTTTGTGTATTTGGGGGTCTGTGTGGCCTGTAGCCAGCAATCTAACTGTAGCAGACCTGTTCAATAAAGCAGGGCAAAGTGGCCAAGCATTGATCTAATACAGAGGAATATATAATCCACAATCCTTGGAGGTTCCTCCACTATCCAGCACTAGAATGTTGTCAGGATTGCCTCCTATTACGTACAATTAATTGTACATGATGACATAAGCAAGAGGAGGGGCAACAGCAAGACTGGTCGGCAATTGGAAGAAGTGGGGACCAAGTATCACAGCTGGAACTGGCGGGTGGAAGACTGTGACTGTGGATTAATGGAAGTATTCCTTTGTATTAGATCTTCCTCTAGAAAAGATTATATTCTCAACTGAAAGGGAAGGTGCGATATTAGTTTTTTTTTTTATTGCAGGAATTCAGCTTTAAGCTTCTCAGTCTCTTTATATGTTTTTTCAGACATTGCACCATTTTTTGTTGCCCGTCTTTGGACTTGTTCTATCTTATCATTATCTTTTTGTAATTGTGGTTTCCAGAACCAGACATGGTATTCTCAATAAGGTCTAACCAAAGATCTATATAGAATCAGGACCTCCTTCCTCCTGCTGGGGATCCCTCTAGTGATAATAAAGATCTATATAGAGGGATCAGGACCTCCTCCCTCCTGCTGGGGATCCCTCTAGTGATAATTAAGATCTATATAGAGGGATCAGGACCTCCTTCCTCCTGCTGGGGACCCCTCTAGTGATAATGATCTATATAGAGGGATCAGGACCTCCTTCCTCCTGCTGGGACCCCTCTAGTGATAATAAAGATCTATATAGAGGGATCAGGACCTACTTCCTCCTGCTGGAGATCCCTCTAGTGATAATAAAGATCTATATAGAGGAATCAGGACCTCCCTCCTGTTGAGAATCACTCTAGTGATGCACCCCACAATTCTATTTGCCTTCCTTAATGTCTGGCCACACCGTTTGCAGGGTTTATTTTGTAACCTTTTGAGGCATGTGGTGAGAATCGCCCTGCAGTCCTCTCCGTGTGATCCAGTTTTGCTCAGAGTTGTGCGAACACACAATCCTCGGAGGATATACTGGTCCGGTGACATTTCTGAGCGCTCGCACACGTTTGCCCAGTGGCGATGACCCAATGAGACGCAATGAAGGAATTTACAGAAAGCCGCGACAGGTGTGATGGGACACGACTGCGGCTGACAGCCTCCTCCGCTGGTGTCCTTACAATGACCTAACCCAAAAAAAATAAAACAGGGCAGCTATAGAAACCAGAAAAAGAGAAGTGCAAACCCCAGACTGGTTTCCAGTAAAAATAAAGATATAATCGTTCTTTGTAGAGGTCTCACAAGAACAATGATCTATAGTGTCAAACACTTGAGATGTTCCTGTATGGAAAGTGTTCTAAAGGGAAATATACTTGTTGCCACAGCAACCAGCGAGGTCCCAACTCTCATTTTATCAGCTCGCACTTGAAAAAAAGAAAACAGAAGAGAAGCTACAGAAGCGGAACCCTGGAGCAAAAATCAAGGCCATGACCGGCTTTGACACTTCACAAGCTGATACAACAACAGGTCCACTTGACTCAATTTTTCATTAAAGGAGAACTATGGGGTTAAGTCTTTTCCCCATAGTTCTCCTTAGGGTAACGGGAGGACACAAACTAGCGTCCTCCCGTCACCCAAAGCTCAGTATATAGGGAGCTGTAGCTTGTGGTATAGTGAGACGCCTCAGCTGAATCGGATCCCGACAATTGTGCCGGGATCCGCCCAGCTGCGTGAGTGACAGCTGGCTCTGCCTATCCAGAGGCAGAGCCAGCTGTGCCCGCCCCCTCCCCCGTCCGTTCCGCCAGTCAGCGCTGGCAGATCGGAGCGGGGAGAGGGTAATCCAGCCCCTCCCCCTGTCACGACAGAGAGCAGTGACATGATCGAGAGGTGAGCGAACGCCGGTATGTGTTCGCTCAACTCCCGATCTACTGAGCCGACCTGTGACAGTCTCATTGTCACAGGTCGGCTAGAACTATGAGGTGAGTGAAAAGCATTCACCTCATAGTTCTCCTTTTAATGTGTTATAATGAATGGTTCCTATAGACAATTGCGTGTTTCCTTTAGAACGCGTTCCCTGCCAGGACAGCTATAGGAGGGGTTTCCTAAAAGACACAAGGTGTACCACATAAGGGCCTATTCACACTTTGGCGTTATGTTGCGCATTAATGTGCATTGCGTTAAGAAAGCCCAATCAAAAGACTGGGCTGCCAATGCGCTAGAACAGGGGTAGCCAAACTCCGGACCTCCAGCTATTTTGGAACTAAGAATCCCATGAGGCATTGCAAGATTCTCACAGCCACAGACATGACTCCAGGAGAGAGATGCATCATGGGATTTGTAGTACTACAGACGAAAAAAATGGACATGCATTCTTTTTTTCCAGTGCATTACATGAGTTACGGTGCACTGCAACCTATGCACGTCGAAGTTGCGTAGGGTTAGTGCAGTAAGGTGCATTGCATGAATGGGCCCTAAGTGGCTTCAAAGTTTATTGTCTAAAGGAGAGTACCGAAAGAGGAGATACACTGATCAGCCATAACATTACGACCACCTAACTAATATTCCCCCTTCTCCTGACCCGTCCAGGCATGGACTCCACTAGACCTCTGAAGGTGTGCTGTGGTATCTGGCACCAAGCCGTCAGTAGCAGATCCTTTAAGTCCTGTAAGTTGTGAGGTGATCGGCCTCCATGGATCGGACTTGTGTTTCCAGCACATCCCACAGATGAGCGATTGGACTGAGATCTGGAGAATTTGGAGGCGGAGTCATCAGCTCAAACCCAATGTGTTCCTCCAACCATTCTTAAATCATTTTGCAGTGTGGCAGGGCTCATTATCCTGCTGAAAGAGGCCACTGCCATTAGGGAATACAGTGTCCATGAAGGGGGGGACTTGGTCAGTGACAATGTTTAGGTCGGTGGTACGTGTCAAAGTGACATCCACATGAATGAAGGACCCGAGATTTCCCAGCAGAACATTGCCCAAAGCGTCACACTGCCTCCGCCGGCTTGTCTTCTTCCCATAGTGCATCCCGGTGCCATCTCTTCCCCAGGTAAGCGACACACACGCACCCGACCATCCACATGATGTACATCAGACCCGGCCACCTTCTTCCATTGCTCCGTGGTCCAGTTCTGATGCTCACATGCCCATTGTAGGTGCTTTTGGTGGTGGACACGGGTCAGCATGGGCACCCCGACCGGTCTGCGGCTACACAGCCCCATACACAACAACCTGCGATGCTCTGTGTGTTCAGACTCCTTTCTATCAGAACCAGAACCATGAACTTTATCAGCAATCTGATCTACAGTAGCTCTTCTATTGGATCGGACTACACGGACCTTCTCTCCCTATGTACATCAATGAGCCTTGTCACCGGTTCTCCTTCCTTGGACCACTTTTGGTCAGTCCTGACCCCCTGCAGACCGGGAACATCCCACAAGAGCTGCAGTTTTGGAGATGCTCTGACCGAGTCGTCTAGACATCGCAATTTGGCCCTTGTCAGAGTCCCTTAGATCCTTTACAATTGTCCATTTTTTGTGCTTCCAACATATAAACTTCAGGGACAAAATGTTCACTTCCTGCCTAATATATCCCCCCCACTTCCAGGTGTCATTATAATATATCCCCCCCACTTCCAGGTGTCATTATAATATATCCCCCCCACTTCCAGGTGTCATTATAATATATCCCCCCCACTTCCAGGTGTCATT